TGTGGGGTCACAAAGAATTGGACTCAACTGAGCATGCAGGCACACACACATATACATGTATTAAGATTTAACAGCTGGGAAATGTGCAAGCTGCTTTACAAATATCATCTCATTTAACCCTCATGATCACCCTTCATTTGGACACTGGCTTTACATTGTGGCTCAGCCGGTAAAGAATCCATCTGCAGTGCAGGAGATCTGAGTTTGACCCCTGGATTGGGAAGATCCTCTGGAGAAGGGAAAGGCTACCCACTCCAGTACTTTGTCCTGGAGAATTCCATGAACTATATTCCATGTCGCAAAGAGTCAGACACAACTGAGTGACATTCACACACACACAGATCAGGAAACCGGGGCCTGGTAAGTAGTTTACCAAAAGTTGCTCAGATGGTAAGTTTAGGGCTGGGCTCTGAACCTGCACCTGATTTCAAAGCTTCTCCTGAGATGCTGACCTCTGTGCTGTCTGCAAGGTCTCCTGGCAGGTTGCTGGCTTGTTGATGGCTGTTGACTGAAGGAGTTACATATCTGTTTGGCCAGAATTTTACTGCTGTGATCATTGGTGCCTTTTAGGACTCCCACTGACCCAGGAGGGTACCGGGGACAATTCTTAGAGACTCAAGGGTTAGGCCCAGGATCTCAGGGATGTTTCTCCCCTTTTTTACAGTCTCCAAACCTTATAAAGAGTCTACTTCCTCGTAGGAACTTGCATTTGTTTTAAAAGTTCGATCAGTTATTTAACTAGTACCTAGCTTTGTTTGTATCCCTGTGTCTCTAAACTAGAAAAGAAAGTCTTCCTCAGCTTAAGGAAGCCTCTGGCTGTCCCCATGCCTGTCAGAGGAGGTTTTCCCCATCAAAAGCTTGCTGGGATTGTCGCTCAGGAGGCCTGGTTTAAAAACAAACAGCTAACATTTGTCTTGGATCTTAACCAACTCCACCAACCTGATATTCTCTTTAAAGTGCAGTCATGACTGCAAAGTATGTGGTGAAGAAAAAAAACGAACACCCTTCACGCTTCACATCTCCGTCTCTGGCCGGAGCTGAATGCCCACTTTTAATCCTCTTTCCTGCATGGGACCTGCTTCTTCTGGGGAAGCAGCCATGGAGGAAGGGGAAGGTTGGGCATCAAAGAGATAGAAGTTGTAGGTTCCAGGGAAATCTAGCCACATGTAAACAGACATGTGGATGCACCCCAATTTTCACTTTCTCAGAAGTGACCGCACACCAGGTCTCTCTGTCTTCTCCAAGTGGGCTTCCCTGGTGGCTCAGATGGTAAAGAATCTGCTTGCAATGCATGAGACTGGGGTTCGATCCCTGAGTTGGGAAGATCCCCTGGAGGAGGGTACGGCAACCCGCTTCAGTATTCTTGCCAGGAGATCCCACCTCTGTCCATAGGATTCTCCAAGCAAGGATACTGGAGTGGGTTGCCGTGCCTTCCTCCAGGGGATCTTCCCAATCCAGGGATCGAACCCGCGTCTCTTACTACTCCTGCATTGGCCGACAGGTTCTTTCCCACTAGTGCCACCGGGGAAGCCCTTACATTTATAGTCGTGGCACAAAATACAGTGTAGCTTTTCTGAGGAATCTCCTAGCAGCTGCTTCTCACTAGCTTTGGGGTTAGAAGTTCACCCAAGTAAGCAAAGGGTGAGACTCGTAGCTCAGCCACACCCCTCCCCACAGAAATTTCTTCCGGCATCTTTTCCCACAACTCTCGGTCCTCCTTCCAAATCACTGATCTGCCCAAGCAGCCCAGAGGGGTGCAATTTGTCCTGGAAATTGCACACAGGAGTTGTCTCATGCTCTTGGTGGTACCAATCTTTATTACATGGATTCTTCTGCTGAAACTTTAATTTCAGGCCCCTTTCATACATTTAATTGGCCCAGAATTTAAATCTTTTTAATTTGAGTTACATTCCCTTCCTGCTAAAACCTGGCTGATTTCTTCCTTCTGTGCCCTCCTGACAAATGGCTGGCCAGGGTTATCCCACCAAGTTTACCCTCCTCCCCATAGTTTTGGAGAACCAGTCCCAGCTGATGGTACTGGTCTTCAGCACTGAACTGATGAGTGGACTGTGGCCGGGGCTCCGCACTGGCCCTGCTACCCCAGGCTGGGGGGCAGGGGGAGCCTCACTTGGAAGTCAGTGGTGTATCCAGCATCAGGCTCAGCTCAGAGCTGGGGGAGGCTGCACTTTGGAGGACAAAGGGGTGATGATGAAGAAGGCTCCCCTCCAGGCTTCTGGTGTCCTGGAGCTTCCCAGGACCTTTTCCTGTCTGGGCTCCCTTCCTCACCCACCTCTCCTACTCCCTCATGACCTCCTGGGGAAAAACCTCCATGAGAACCTTGGCAAGGAGAGGAGGGAAGTAGGGTGTAAAGTGCCCTTCTTGATCCCCAGGGTAGGCAGCTGGGTGAGCATCTGAGTAGGACCCTGGCCAGTTGGGTTCTGTGCTCCCCACTTAGGGTCTCCCCAGGAGTGTGAGTGACTGTGGCCTGAGCTCCGAGCGGGCACAGAGACCAGCTCTGCCATCCTTCCCCTGACTGGCTGCTGGCCTGCACGCCGGCTCCGGCGGAGCACACACCTAGTTCTCATGCTGGAGCTCAGGCCAAGTAGCCTCATCTCCCCTGCAGCCTCCTCGTGGCTCCAGCTGATGATTTATGGCTGCCCATTAACTCTAGTCAAGCGGCTCAGCTCTTGGGAACATCTGCTCCGCAGCAGAGCAAGCTGTGTTTGCAGGGACATATGGTCAGGCTCTTCTGGGGATGGATTAGGCTCACAGAGGGACTGATGCCCAAGCTTCTGCTGCTGGGGGAAAGCCACGCTCCCTCCTCGCTCATCAGAGAGCAAGCTGACCTCCTTTCCTTCATCCAGTGCCCCAGATTGCAGCAGGGTCCCAGGGCTCTGCCCAGCCCTCTTGCCTCCAGTACTCACCCTTCTATTCTCCCTCTGATTGGAGGAGAGGAAATCATAAGTCTAGACAAGTGGTTCTTTTTTAAAAAAAATAGTTTCAATTTTGTTTTGGGGTATAGCCAATGAACAATGTCGTGATAGTTTCAGGTGGACAGCAAAGGGACTCAGCCGTATATACACATGTATCCATTCTCCCCCGAATCCCCCTCTCATCCATGCAACATAGCTTTGAGCAGACTTCCCTGTGCTCTACAGTAGGTCCTTGTTGGTCATCCTTTTTAAATACAGCAGCGTGTTCATGTCATCCCAAACTCTCTAACTATCCTTCCCCCCAGTCTTCCCCTGGGTCACCATAAGCATGTTCTTAAAGTCTGTGAGTCTGTCTGTTTTGTATGTAAATTCATTTGTATAATTTCTTTTTAGATTCCACATGTAAGGGATGTCATATTTGTAGCAACATGGATGGATTTAGAGAATGTCATAGTGAGTGAAGTAAGTCAAACAGAGAAGGAGAACTCTCAAATAGACCAGTGATTCTTAAACTACAGAGTGGTGGGCCCACTCACAGAATTTCTGAAACAGCAGGTCTGGGGTGGGAGCCAATAACTTGCCTTTCAAACAAGTTCCCAGGTAATGCGATGCTGTTGGTCTGAGAGCCCCATGAACCACTGGTCTTGACCAGTCACCTCTCTGGGAGGGTTACAAGGACACCAGGGCTGAGTGGAGTCTTGGTCTGCTTGACTCCGTGTTGATGGAAGATAGATGTGGGTGGGAAAACTTTGAGGTGCTGAGTTCTAAGCAGAGATCGTAGGGACTCAGGTTGCCAAATACCGTGTTGTTCTGGAGTGGAGATTTCTCAAGGGTCCCGAGGCAAATCGCACTTTTTGATTTAATCAGCTGCAGATGCGTCTCAGAAGCCAAAGTCAGAATCGGGGTAGAGGGCCTGATGAGTTTGATCTGTGGGTACAGGGTTGGCCTCCCCCAACCTGTCTGGGTGTCTACTGAGAAGCATGGTCCACCAAGAGAGTGTCCTGCGAAGAACCCACGTTGCAGAGGCCGAACGACCTAGTGGAAGGAGTGTCCCCTAAGGAGGCCGAGGGACACCCAACACGGACTCTCCAGCTCAGCTCCTGCAAGGCTCTGCCTTCGGACGCCTTGTCCCCGTCCCCTGCCCACTCCCCCCCAGGATGAATGGCACGCGCTCAGAACCTGAGCTCCATCATCGTCCTCGAGGCTTAAGGAGTCTCCATGCATGCACGTCCGTTCAGAGCTCCAGCTCTCAGGCGACCCACGCGGCCTTGGTTCCTGTTTAGGGAAGTGCAGGGTGCAGGCTGGGGCTGACGGAATCCCATAGGGACCTGCAGGAGGAGAGATGACACCTGGGCGGACAGGCCACCCGTCAGGCTGGAGGAGCAGGCACGGGGGGTGGTGGGCAGTGTATCAGATCCCTGAAACCACAGTGGTGCACATGAGGCCGGCCCCGAATGAAATGGACATCTCAAAATGTGACCCTCGGCTCCAAAATCCATCTTTGGACGCTTCCTGGCAGGCAGCCTGGGAAGGGCCATGTGGGGCTGCCTCTCTCCTGCAGATACTCCCCGCTGCCTGTCTCGTTTCTGGCTCCTTCTGATGCCTCCTCCACCTGTCCAGCCCCTGCCTGTTTGGCTTTGGTGGGTCTTCCTTTCCCAGCTGCTGCCCCTTGAATGTGGGGTTGGTGGCTGGCATGGAGAGTCACGGGGGTGGCGGGTTCAGAGAAGGGGGCAGTGATATCCAGTCTTGTGTTGGCCCTTTGGTGCAGCTGAGTGTCTCAGAACAACAGGAACTACAGGGAGAAAACTGAGACTCAGGAAAGTTGTCCACTCATCCGTGGTAGTGATGAGTTGGCAGAACTGGTTTTGGTTCCAGGAACCCATGCTCCTGAGCCTGGACTGGTTTCCTCTCCTCGCAGCCCCGTCATGTGAGCGCGCCTCTGATGCTAGCCTTAGAGTCACTGCTATTTACGGGAATAGCAAGAGGCAAGTGTGCCTTGGCGTGTAAACTGCCACCTGTCCAGATATTTAAAAAGTCTCCTCTCTCTACGTGTCAGTCAGGGTTTAATCAGAGAAGCAGATCCACCACTGTGGGAGTTATGGGAGAAGAGATTTCACAGAGGAACGGATTCTTGTATGACATGAGAGGCATCAGGAAGAGCTGGAAGTGTGGCCAGTTGGAGAAGCCCAGTTGCTGAAATGGCCCTGTGAAGCAGGAGGTATGGGCAAGTCCACTGGAAGCCAAGTAACTGATGGCCAGGCCCCTGATGGAGACAGAACCAGCATTCAGGAGAAGAGTTGGGCCCTCAGGCACCCCTGCAACAGGTTTGATGGAGCAGAGGTTCTGCTGCATTTCTGCCTCCGAAGCTCCTGAAGGCCCTCTTTGGGCCATTTAACCCAGACCCATCTGGGGAGGGGGTTCTGGGAGATGGCTCCAGTGTGACCCAGCTGTCAACAGTGTCATTGCTGTTATGTTTCTGAGTTTCTTGGTGAGCAGGCAGCGAGCTTAATCCCCGCCTTCCTCTACCTACTTTCTCTGACGGTAAACCTTACACACTTACGGGCTCCCAAAATGTCCCTGGGAGAACTTCTCTCTTATATGTGGAATCAACTGATTTTCCTTAAAAGGTACATTCTTCAAAGCCAGTCGTGCATAGACTTTGCCGGGAGCCCTGTAACCAGGGGGACGACATGGCCTCGTCCCCCAGCTCCAGTTACAGCCGTCGTCCTGCTTAATTATTAACGATGCCTCCTTGCCATCTCAGGAGGACGCTGGTTTGGAGGCCAGATGGTAAGGTCGCTTGGCCTTTAGCTCAGCCTTGAGTTGCTCTTGCAGGTGAGGAGGTTGGAGCTGAGGGCAGAGGAGGGGGGCTGCTTGGATTGCCTTTGGCCCCCCTCTCCTCCCCGCTGCCTCTCGGTCACCAAGGTGGAGGGAGGGAAGGGAACAGGCTGCACATCAAGGTCTGGTTCTGAAACAGGGAGAAAACCAGACTAAGTGTCCCCATCCCAGGGCCCCACTGCTTCCGGGAATTCCAGGAAAATTCCTGCCAGGTGTTCCTGCTCTTCTGACACCTCCCCCCTCCCCAGCACCCCCCCACCCCCCGGGTCTGGGAAACACGGCCGCTGTGGCTCAGCGCCCGCTGCAGCCACACCCTCGCTCACCTGGGCTCATGGTGCTGCGCAGCCACCGTCTGGGGCTGCACTTCTGTCTTCATCGCCTTCTCATACCACAAGTCCATTTGCTTAATTCAGTTTTGGCTCCATCTGACACTTTCTCTGAGGACTGTAATTTAAGTCAACAGTTAACTGAAATCCAAGACTTTTAACATGTATTTCCTTTAGGTCATGGGTCTACTACATGAATGAGTAAATGAGATGGATGGAGAAAGGAGTAGCTTAGGTAAATTTGACTGTGGGAAAACAATTAGGGTGAATCTTAGCATTAAATTTGCCTTCATGAGAGTATTCCTCTGGCTGCTGTGGAAACTATGATGTTTGGGCCCAAATAACACAGGGAATTGGGAAGAGAAAGCTCAAGTTTTGTTTGGGGGAAGGAGGGGGCTGGAATGGGGCCTTTAGCAGGTGACTTAAGCTCTCTGAGCTAAGCTTGTTGTTCAGTCACCAAGTTGTATCCTACTCTTTGCCACCCCATGGACTGCAGGAAGCCAGGCTTCCCTGTTCATCACCACCAGTTCCCACAGTTTGCCCAAGTTTATGTTCACTGAGTTGGGCATGCCATCCACCCATCTCATTCTCTGTTGCCATCTTCTCCTTTTGCCTTCAATCTTTCCCAGTATTAGGGTCTTTTCCAGTGAGCTGGCTCTTCACATCAGGTGGCCAAAGTATTGGAGTTTCAGCATCAGCATCAGTCCTTCCAATTCAGGGTTCATTTCCTTTAGGATGGACTGGTTGGATCTCCTTGCTGTCCAAGAGACTCTCAAGCGTCTTCTCCAGCACCACAGTTCAAAAGCATCAGTTTTTTGGCACTCGGTCTTCTTTATGGTCCAACTCTCACATCCATACATGACTACTGGACCTCACCTTCCTCCTCTGTAAAACCAAGATGACACTACCTGCCTCACAGGATGATTAGAAATAGGGAGACATTCTTTATGTAAATCCTTTATATAAATTGACAATTGCCTGGCACTAAGTCATCACTTGGAAGCACTCTTGGTGATGCTGGTATTTATTCTCAGCAGCCCCCAGATGCAGCTCTGGGACGCTACTCAGCGTCCTCTGACCACTTCTCCCTCATTCCCAAGCCAGGCTCACTGAGGCTTCTTTTTGCCCCCTGAAATGCTTCCCACCCATCCTTTTCCTACCTGAGTGTTTTATGAACTCATGAAGTCCTGTCTCACCATGATGGCCTCCAGAGGCCTCTATCTCTCCTCTGAGTTCCTTCCTTCCCTTAGTATTGACCACATGCTGCTTTGGGTTGCCACGTGCCCCTCTGTGGACAGCTGTGGTCTTATCCACAGAGATAAGTCCACAGAGATAAGTCCACAGATCTCTCCACAGAGATGGTCAGGTCCTTGTAGATGGGAAAGTTTTCTTTTGTATGCCCTCCAGGTAAAAGTGCTGGCTTCTGCACATAGTGGGGTCTAATGACAGCTTACAGGATGTCAGATTCATCCTCCTCTCTAGCACTGGGCTTTTATGGGAAGACAAACTTGAGAAGAGGGGAGTGTTTATGCCACAGATTCCTCTATTTCCCAACAATATCCTTGGGATTGCATCTGTTCTCCCTTCCACCCTCATTTCCCAACATGGACTTCTGGGTGTGCAGCGGACACCCAAGGATGGAGTGACCCCATGTTCTGAGGGGGTTGCAGAATGCTATGATTCAGCTAAGCCAGGAGACTGATGCTGGAAGCATGAACTTCCTGCCCAGTGAATGTATTGGTCTCAGAGCCAAGGCTGATGGCCACCCTGGCTTCTTTTGCTATTTCAGCATGGTATCTCCAAATAGCCCTTTACAGGCTAAGAACATCAAGCCTGGTCTTGTGAGGACTGCTGTGCGTGTGTGTGCATGTGTGTGTATGTCTGCATGTGTGTGTACATGTAGAGAGCATGTAGAGAGGGTTGATGGAGTGGGGAGAAGGTGGGGCTGAAACTTCATCCAGGTTAATCCCATTTATTCAGATGTGCAACAGATATAGGAACTGCGTGAACATGAGTTTGTAGTCATGGAAATCTTTTTTTAAAAATATTTATTTGGCTGTGCTGGGTCTTTGTTGTGGCATGTGGGATCTTTATTGTGGCATGTGGGATCTAGCCCCCCACCAGGGTTAAACCCGGGCCCCTTGCATTGAGAGCTTGGAGTCTTAGCCCCTGGGGAAGTCCCGCCGTGACATCTTTTCTTCAATCTAAAGTTTATTTAGAGTCTGTATATAAAGCACACCAACGTGGAGCTGCTCTGGAAGAACCCGAAGTTGGATTCAAGGATGCTCCACCAAGAACATTGTCAAAACTTGTACCATAAACCTCATTTTTCTTGCCATAAAAAGGAGGAATAGCAGTGTCTTTCTCACTTGTAGAAAGTGCCTGGCATGTGAGGGACCTGATGTGTAGGGCTCGTTTACATTTCACGTTTCTCTCTGAGGTTATGGAGCCTAAAGGTGGTATTGTGCTCAGGGCTCCTGCCTCCTCTCTGCTCTGCTGGTGATGAATGGCAGACAGGAGGTGGTGCAGATGCAGGAAGTGACAGTGTTAAGGGCACCCTGTCCTTGGCAGCATTGTCTGCGTCCAGGGCAGAGGCGACAGGGTACCCATGAGAAGCGCAGAGGGGTGCAGTGCGTGAGGCGGGTGTCTGTGTGAGGCCTGGGAGGGATGAGGCCCAAGGGTGTGTGGGGGGATGCATGTCCTGCTGTGTGTGGTCCCTCCAGCCTTGCAGGCCACGGAGGCTGGGGTTTGGGTGGCACTCTGGGTGTTGGAGGCAGTGCTTCCAGCGGAGCCAGTGGGTATTGAGGGGCCGCGGGTGTGGGAATGGCACCCACCCTCCCTGCTCTGAGGTGGCTGGTTTGCTCTGCGTCCCTGTGTGAGCAGGCAGCGTGTCCCAGGCTGTGTGGGAAAGGAGGGCCGCCCAGGGGTGGAGACAGCCTGGGAGGGGCCTGGGAGGGAGGCCGGAGTGGGCGTCTTGAGGGAATAAGGAGAAAAGGCTTGGAAACCCGGATAAGGCACCTCTCCAGCACTTGGCTCTCTTTATCTCTGAAAATTAAAGCCAGGGCTCTGTTGGAACATTCTGTTTGAGATTCTGCTGGGGAACTTAAAAGACTGGGGAGGAGTGGGTGGCGAGTGGACTCTTTTGCCTCAGTTGATGGTACATGTGTTGGGGTGGGCAGCACCATGTTTTGGCTTTTATCCGTACATCAGTTGATTCCTGAGCACCTGGATTCTAGACCCTGGCTTCAGGGGTGGGTAAAACCACAGTCATGGTTCCTGCTCTTATAGAGCTCACCATTTAGTGAAGCAGGCAGACCACCAAACAGATGAAGACAGGATATGATATTTTTCATCCTGGAAAATATCAATAGTATGTTATATTTATTAGCACATAATATAGTATCAGTACTAATAACATGCTAATTTATTAGTATATAATACATATAAATAGAAAATTAATAATACATATATATATATGCATGTGTGCTAAGTTGCTTCAATTGTGTCCGACTCTTTGCAATCCCATGGACTGTAGCCTGCCAGGCTCCTCTGTCCATGGGATTCTCCAGGCAATACTGGAGTGGGTGTCCATTCCCTTCTCCAGGGCATCCTCCTGACTTAGGGATCGAACCTAGGTCTCCCACATTGCAGGAAAATTCTTTACTGTCTGAGCCACTGGGAAAGCCTATATATATAAAATACATATATATCCTGCCTGGAGAAACCCATGGACAGAGGAGCCTGGTGGGCTATAGTCCATGGGGTCACAAACAGTTGGACACAACTGAGTAATACTTTCACTTTCATATATATATATACACATAACATATATACATATATACAGTTATTAACATGCATTTATTAACATGTAACATGTAAATATATACATACATGCTATATAGTATGTCATACAGTACCTATACTCTATTGGTTACATACGTGTGTGGATGCACAATCACTTCTGACTCTTTGGGACCCCATTGACTGTAGCCTGCCAGGCTCCTTTGTCCATGGAACTTTCCAAGCAAGAATTCTGGAGTGGGTCCACAGGTGGGTACAGGGTGCAAGAGGAGATTTGAAATAAGAATAACTCTGCCCTGGGAGTCAGAGAGAGCAGGTTGTCTGTCCAAGATTGTGTCTGTCTCCGTGTTGGGGTGGAGAGGGTAGTGGAAGGTGTTCCAAGTGAAGTTATCAACACCTCCTGGGCAGGGACACTGGGGAGAGAAA